GTGTGTGTGTGTGTGTGTGCGTGTGCGTGCGCGTGCGCGTGCGCGTGCGCGTGTGCGTGTGCGTGCGTGTGTGCGTGGCGCGCGTGCGAGTGTGTGTGTGCGTGCGTGTGTGTGTGTGTGCGTGTGTGTGTGTGTGTGTGTGTGCAGTTTTTTGTGTGTAAAATTATATATGTTATATCAATTCACATCAAATCGTTCACCTTCCTCTTCCAAAATTGTATTTAACTAAATGTAACTTGTAGGATACCAAACTTTAAATTACAGCGAGGGGGTAACCACTAAGAAAATAGGTGTACACTTGGATTTCGGACTTCAAGACTTCAACGGACTTCACGGACTACGCTGAATTCCGTTGGATTACACCGAATTTCATTGGAATATATCGGACTTTAATGGATTTCGCTGGATTTCATTGGACTTCACGGACTACACTGAATTCCGTTGGACTACGCCGGATTTCATCGAAATACATCGGACTTTAATGGATTTCGCCGGACTTCATCGGACTTCATGGATTACGCAGGACTTCACGGACTACGCTGAATTCCGTTGGACTACGTCGGATTTCATCAGAATACATCGGACTTCAATGGATTTCGCCGGACTTCATCGGACTTCATGGACTACGCAGGACTTCACGGACTACGCTAAATTCCGTTAGATTACGCCGGATTTCATTGGAATTCATCGGACTTTGCCGGACTTCATCGAAATTCGAGGAATTCATCGGGCTTCAAGGAATTCAACGGATTTCTGACGGGTTGTGCACCGGAATTCAAGAGTGGTTACTCCCTCGGCTTACAGCTTCTAGTTTTTGATGTCATGTGGCGATTTTGAAAAAAAAATGTAATGGCCTTGATTTCATCTGTCACAAAAAATTTTTTTAATCTATTTCTATTAGTTTTTGAAAAAAAATACAATTGTTATTTTTAATGTAATTTTGTATTACTGAATCCAAATCTAAAATTAAGATTAACTAATTACAAATTAAATAATGTTATATTAATTTAATTTTTATTTTTTGATTAAAAAATTTTTTCTCTTAATAGCATTTCTAAGCTATGAAATTAACTATTTATCGTCTTTCTACAAATACTCCATTTGTCAGTATCAGTTTTTTAAAGAGATTTTAATCTAGGATATAAACGCGCGAGATACAGTTAAGTGGTGTAGTTGTACGATAACCGTATAGCTAATTTCAGAATTTCAAAAATGCCGTATTAAGAAGAGAAAAGAGCATGCTTAAAACATGTATATCTTTTGGAAGTGGATACCAATAAAAACTAAATGTTTATTTGCAGAAAAAATTTAATTATGATAAAAAAACGGCAATTTTTATCATTTTGACTACTTTTCGGCGCGATTCAAATATTGATTAATGTTAATTTCAAATTTAGATTCAACAGTGTAAAATTACATTAAAAATGACATGTATTTTTTTCAAAAAATCATTAGTGGCAATTGAAATAAGGAAATCATGAATTATTTTTTCTATTTAACGGATAAAAACAAAGTTATTACTTAATATTTTTCAAAATTGACACATGGCATCAAAAACTAGACGCTTTAACTTAAATTTTAATATCCTACAAGTTACATTTTTATTTTTAATTGATACAATTTTGGACATGTAGGTAGTCGATTTGGCGTGGAATGTCAAATCCTATACAAGGTGTCTCAGATCACCCATGTCATCCGTTTAAAAACGAGGGAAATGATTTTTCGAAAAAATCTTAAAAATTATAATAAATAAATCGGGTATGCTCTATCAAATGGTAATATTTTCAACTCCGGTTCCGAACGGAAATGGGCAATTTAGAGCAGAAATCTACATATCACATGCTGCTTTTATCACAGAAGAAATGTAACATAGAAACTACTACTACAATAAAAGAATAATAAATAAAATTTGCAACTTAGCATGAATAAAGAATAGCAATAAAAAATTATGTATGTTAATAGAAAGAATGCTTTTATTATTGTATATTTTTTATATCTTTGATAAATAATTAAGATCTCTTATCTTTTGTCACTTTATATTTTGTCAAAATATAACTATAAAATAAAGAGCAATAATTTAAATTTATTGCCATTTGTGCTTTAATTAACACATACGCTCACTAAACAAATCTAGAAAAAATTAGGAAACATTTTACCAGATAGTTTGATTATTAAACAACTTACAAGAGAACACACGGAAGTGTCCCCCTCCGATTTTAATGAGCTTTTGATATGTTAAAATACAGACAAAAATAAGATACAATTTTTTATACGTGCTGAGTCGCACATTAAGGGGGTGATATCCAGCCTTGAAAAAAAATCGGTTTTTCTCTTTCTGAGTAAATATCATGTAAACCGTAAAAGATGTGAAAAAAATGATTTAAACAAAAATTTTATGATTTCAAGTGCACTCTACACTGGTGCATTTTAATTTAAAAAAAAATTATTTTTTACTATCCCTTTCTCACCCTTAATTTTTAAAAATTAAAATGCGCCATTGTAAAGCGCACTTGAAGTTGTAAAACTTTTATTTATTGACAGTTTACGTGATATTTACTCAGAAAGAAAAAAATCGATTTTTATCAAGGCTGGCTATCATCCCTCTTAATGTGTGACTCAGCACGTATAAAAAATTGGTAGTATCTTATTTTTGTTTATATTTTAACATATTCAAAACTCATTTAAATTGAAGGAGACATTTTCGTGTGTTCCCTTGTTAGTAAAAAAAGAGATAAAACATAGTCTTCAAAATAATTATAAATATTTCTAACTGGATTTCAATTTTAAGAAATATTAGTACTTTATATTAACCACGCGAATGAAGCTTTTAAAAATTTAAAATATATAATTTATGCATGTCTATTTAAATCTCTTCTTTCTTCTCTGATTAATCATCTAGATACAAATCATTGCAGATTCCATTATTACAAGCTGAATCACGTTCCTCCTTATCAGTGCTCAAGTCTTCTAAAAGGCAGCTATCAAATAATATGCCTTTGACAGAAACAGCTCATGATTCTGGAAGTTCATCTGCAGAAGCACATACCGATTCTAGTCAATCCTTAGGAAAAAGAAGACGTTCAACTGCTAGGTAAGAACATTAAAATATAATAAAAACATTATGAATTATTAATTATGTAGTAATGCGCACAAAATTTATAAACTCTAATAATACATATTTAAATACATTCATTTTAGATTAATTGGCATAATGAAACAAATGGAACACCAAATAATAGAACATGGTGAGAAATTAAATCGTATACAGCAGATTGTAGAACAAGTTGTGAAGAAACAAAGAGAATCTGGTGAACATCATAACATAAATATGTTTAAGAGCTTCGTAGATACTATACTTATTATTGTTATCGTTTTCTTCGTGCAATATTGTTTAAACATATGGAATAATGATCCAATTAAGGATTGAAGGATTTAGTAAGATTGTTCTCCATCTTTTGTGTTACACTCGTTATTTAAATTATATATGTATCACTTGTTTTTTCTATTTCCTAAATTTCTTGCAGCGTGGTGTCGGTATATCATGATCACAGGTGGAGTAGATCGTTTCGCGAAAAAAATATAATTTTTATTACAAAATACACACAGAGAGAAAGAGAGTGTCCAAAAAGTCCCGCGACACCTGAATGTCATGGAGAATATAAGTTTTACAAAAAAGTGTTTTAGACAAAAGTTGTAGGGTTTGAAAAGATCTATTTATTGATCTTTGGTTTGACTATAATAAAATATTTTTTCATTAATCAGTTCTCGAGTTATAAGACTTGAAAGGTACCACCGGCATTAGCATTATCCAAAGTATCCGAACAATAACTGAAACTTTTTGAATGTTGAACTTTTTGAACTTTTAAATGTTGTTCAGGGTTATGAGCTTGACAACATGTGTCAAGGTCATGATTATTGGAGGATGTTTCTCTTTTAAAAAAAATTTTTTTTTTTAATGAAAATAAGGAAAACAATTTCCACTGATCATGACCTTGACACATGTTGTCAAGCTCATGATCTTGAACAACATTTAAAAGATTTCAGCCATTGTTCAGACACCTTAGATAATGCTAATGTTAGTGGTACTGCAACTTTCAAGCTTCATAATTCAAGATTTATTTATTCAAAAAATATTTTATCTATGTGTTTTGGAAAGCTCGAGATAAGCTACAAGAATATGCAATGAAAAATGGGGGGTTCTATTTAAAAAATTTAAAGTGATCTTACCTTGTCTTTGGCGACGCCACCTAAGATCAAACCAATAAGATCAATAAATACACCTTTTCAAATCGTACAACTTTTGTCTAAAAAACTTTTCTGTAAAACTTATATTTTCCATGATATTCCAGGTGTCCCAGGGGTCGGGACTTTTTGGACACTGTATGTATACACACACACACATACACACACACACGCACACACACGAGGGAAGTCCGATAGTAAAGGTAGAAGTGGCTATTATACTGTGCATGCGCAATTAGTTCGTGTAGTAGTAGAGTCTGGAACGTTAATTGTTTTGTTCTAGACTCAATTTAGCTTCCGGGAACTAGTTTGAACATCCCTTCACGGTACTGCTGCTTGTCAAGTTGTTCGAAGTTTCTCGAACAACTTGACAAAAATTTTTTGAAAGGGCTGAATAATCCGAGGAGACTAAATCAAGATACGGAGGATATTGCAGAATAACTCCACGCACCTCACACTTCGAATACTCTGCAATTACACACGCCATGTTCGTTTGCTTTCCGGAAGCTAATTGAGTCTAGAACAAAACAACACTCCAGACTACAATTACATGAACTAACGGGTCTAATCATGCTTATGGTGCCAATCTTGCGCATGCACAGTTTGTATAACAGCCACCTGTATCTTTATTATCAAAGTCCCCGCGTGCGTGCGTGCGCGTGTGTGTGTATATATAAAACACTCTCATCGCTATATAGAAATAAGATGTTAAGAAAAAATATTAGAAATTCTATGTGTTAGATCCAGTGCAATATGGTATTTTGTTATAGTTACAGAAATCAGAAAATTTAAGTACAGGAACTAACAACTGTATGAGCTTATATTGTATATAGAACTTAAGTATAATACTGGAAAAGCTATACATATATATAAAATAGTTCTCGAATTATTAATATAACTTTTATTGCAACCAGCCAGTATCAAATTGTAATATAATTACATAATTGTTGTAAAAATATTATTCACATGTCACTTGCAGCTAATTTATTGTCAGCCCTGCTATATTTAAATCTATTAAATGTATTAATGTATGATATAATAGCATATTGTAATTTGATTCTGATGTGATATCAAATTTATAATAATCTATATTAACCTTCAAATGATACACTTTCAAGCACTCACTAATGGAACAATGGTGCGAATTTAGATCTTAAATTGTATGTATGTACATCTTTCCTGAGGATAAAAACAAAAATATTTTGAAAACTTCACTTTTTTGGGGTAAAATTTTCTCACAAATCCAGCGGTATTACTCAATTTAATAGAAAAACTATTTAACAATTGAAAATTAATTATAAATAAGTTACCGTTTTGAAAAACGTCACTTTTTCGAAGAAAACTGCCATTTTTTGTTATTTCATGAAATGAAGTGAAACTTGATTTTTTAGTTGAAATTATGTACTTTAATAAAAAAATTATTGTTGTTGCAGAAATAGAAAATAGATCGGAAGA